TTCTATAGTTCACGCTATTTGCTATACTGAATTACTAACTTGCCGAAGGAACTAGCTTTACATACCTTCGCTTCTGATTTCCCAACTAACTGGCATAGCTTGGTCAATATTTCCGCTATTTCTTAGAACTGCATCCATATATATATCAATTAGGACTAAATACATTAATATTCTGAAAAGAAAATATTACTTTTAATATATATATATAACCCAAACTTTGACTTATCAAAATACGGTCGAAAACTCACTATTTCTCAGAAGTCCAGATGGGAGAAATGCTTACTTTAGGGCTAGGAGTATATTGACACTAATTTGGAGCAATTCCACTTACCTTATCTCGGTAGCACGATGATTCGCCTGCCGAATTTCATGAAAGTAAACCCGCAGGAATGCTCCCGGCAGCTTAATACTTCACTACCCAAGATTTATTCGAGTTTGGACGGTGTAAACGGAAGGAATTTTAAAGAATCCCTTCATCCTCCTACTGTTCTGCTCGTTTCTGGAATTTAAAAGTGGGGAGAATGAATTTTAAAATGAAGTGGGGGCTTATATACTTGGGGCCTTTAAGTCACATTCGTCGAATGCGATTTATAAGTCGCATTTGCCTTGCGACGCGCCGACTTGGTGCTTGTCCGGTCTTCCCCTGGGTCTTTTTCTAGCATGTATGACATTCTAAAACTCTTAACCCACATGTGAATAGGCCATCTACACGTCGAGAATTTGCGGGGTGTAACAACTTTTAACCATTGGAGGTCAAACTGAAAAGGTATTGAGGCCCAAAGAACTATTGACTATTGAAGAAGCCAAAGTACTCCCCCATATACAACTCATGAGGGAATAAATGACGTTCAATGGCCAACGATCCATTGCAGATTTTAAGTCAAAAGAGAAAGAATTTCTCATTTTCTTTGACCGTAATCTTACCAATGGCAGTTCTTCATTGAAGGTTCCATCCGTTGGAATTTGAGATAGAACCTTCATTGCCCACTGGTGGACAAGAAACAACAATTTTTGCTTTACATAATTGCAAATTGCAAAGATACGTCTCTTACCACTTCCCTCTATCACCTGAGCCAACCTCCCTTTTGCTAATGGAACTCCCAAATAGGCCCCTAAAAGGGAACTTAGGTAAAGGCCTACTATATTTTCGTATATTTTGAGGGATTCATTAGCAAAATGGGTATTATTATGATCTAATGAATAGAGGACCATTTCAGACCATCAGTACGCCGATTCATAGGTCTTCTTTACCTTACGGTCTTTTGATTATGATGCATCATAAAAGTGCCAATATGTGATCGGGGTGAATGGTGTTTAGATATAGGGGCGGCTTCACTAGCTTGGATTGGAAGGAAGGGCTTCACTTTCCAATCACTTTTTAAGGTCGGTGCGGATGAGCATGGGTAAGTTTGGGATTCACTATCGCTTTTCGCTTGGAGCGGCTCACCTCCTTGTCACTTAAAGGGCGAAGTCGCTGAAGCGTGTCAAAAGGCCAAAGAGTCATGTTTAAAGGATACTATGCATCCTTGTTCATAGTAGAGTGAAAGGTAGGTTATGGTATAGCAAGACGTGAATTTGTGACCATTAGATTAAAAGCCCAATGCTCTGCCAACTAAGCTATACACCTAAAAAAGTTGTCGTAGTAAATAAGGATTGGTACGGGAAAGAGGCCGACCCCCCTTCTTCTCATCATATTAAAGGAGCATGGCTTAGTATGAGGCTCATAATGCAGAGCAAGCGAAATAAAATGTAAGGTCACGCGTTAACACTCCTGCAAGAAAAGGGATGCTCTAAGGCTCAATGGCTTTCGTGGAGCTTCTACGCTCTTCCTTCTTGCCCCTTATTTCAAACTCACAAAAGGCCTTGATTGATATGAGAAATATGCGCTTAAGCACCCAAGATATACAAGGGGTTTGTGCTTGAAACCTTACTCACAAGCACCTTTCTTAGTAAGGTTGCCTGTTTCCACTCCTTGAAGATTCTATCAACCAAAAAAGGTCAACGGGGATACTCAAATTGTTCTCACTAACACCAGAGAAGGTGAGGTTGTCTTTCTTTCCAACCGCCATACGGTTCGCCTTAAAGACTTTATGAGAAGGGAAGGAGCAGTTATAATTATGGTCTTTGTTGGTTGTTGTTCCAACCGAGCACTCTCTTTTCTTTTTCCAATTCCTTCTTACCAAACAAGAGTGACTTCTTACCAACCCGTGAAGGGTTGTAGGCTGGACAAGGTACGAAGAATGAATCTATATCTGTGCATGGATGTTGTTGGCTGGTGACCGCTCAATTGTTTGAGCACAATGCAGTTGTGTTGGTTTCAATTCGACAAAGGTAGAATGCCTAGTCTAAGGTCCAGTACAGTAGGGAGCAGGGGTGTTTGTTTTGGCTCCCAAGGAAGAACCATAAATAGGTGATGCACTATCCTTGCTGCTATGTACATTTTCCTTGACTTGACAGATTCATTGAATTGAACCCACATGCAACGGAGGACCACAAACTTAGGGCTCGATGAAACAGAAAGTTTCAGCATGTTTAAAATGGGTTAGCAATGAATGAAAGGGATAGAAATTCGTTTTTGAATGAATATTCATAGTTGCGTCTACAACAAGAGGGACCAACCTCATCATGGTGATTAGAAGACACCTCTGATCATTCACCTCTAATATGATACGTTTCCTCCCAGTTATATGATCAATGGGATCATTCGGCTAGGCAGATTAATTTGAGCACAGCATTCCACCCTCAGACAGATGGACAAGCCG